GAATCATAATCGAATGAAGCGAAAGTGTGGAAAGTCTAGTGTTGCGGAAAGTTTTATTTCCTTTTCTCTCTGTTTTTGAAAAATTATTTTAAGAAAACAGTCAATCCAGTTTGGTTGGTCCATGATATGGGTCCAATAGTAGTGTAGTTGGATAGGGCTTGATAAGACCTTTCCAACGATATGTTATAAGCCCAATTCCGATGAATATTAAGGAACTTATGGCCAATTTACTAAACTGGGCCCGGTTTGAGTTTTATGTACGGCCCAATGATCTAGGGGAGGGCCTAATATGATTTATCATTCCTAATGCAATTGGGAATGGTTTTAGTCTTCTAGATTCTTCTAAAAGGTTCTTTTCATTCCTAATTCAATTAGCATTGATAAATTGACTTTTGTTGACTTTTCAGAGTTTTAATCAAAATCAAATAGCATTTTCGAAGAAATTATATGATTTTATCCTCCAGTACGGAAAACTTATCTGATTTTCAAAAACGCGTTAAAATTAGGCTTGGCGCCTAACCCCAGGCCTTGGTGCCTGGCGCCAGCTCTGTTTTTTGTGCGTCAGACTCTGTTTTGTTTAATTTATCTTTTTGGCTGATTTCTCTATAAATATCGTATTAAAAACTCCGTTTTCATTCACCTACAATCAGTTTTCATTTGCAATCATTAATTCTCTAATTCTCTTTAATCATTCACCAACTCTCATCAAGATTTTCTTGATTATTCTCTCTCTCTTTTTCTAAACTAGCTTTTTACATACAAAATTCCGCATTCGCAAGATCTAGAAACACCTAGCCATATTCGAAGTTGCCTTCGCCCTAGACGTGAAAGGTTTAATTTCTGAGGATTTGGTCCCAAATCTCTATTTCAATTATTTAATTTAATTGTTTGATTATTATTTTCCTTGAAGTTACTAACGTGTGTATTTTGTTATTAGAAAGAGGTACGAAGCATCAAAGTAAGTACTTTAATTGATTTAATGATTGTTATGATGTAGAAATCATGTTTATATTGTTATTATGATATTCCTAGTATCATGTCTAGGGTAATTGTAACATTTCATATGATTGTTGCGATGCTTCCTATGTTCTTCCTAATATTTATGATTGTTAGTATCATGTTAGGGTTAAAGATTTGATTTTTATTGCTTAGTGACATGCTAGGGTTTGTTGTTAATCTTGTTAGTATCATGCCTAGGATCTTGCTATTATTATTATGCTTTAATATTAACATGAACATGATTATGATTATAATATTCATAATTGTTATTGTGATGATCATTATTATTATTTGATGATGATTATGTTATTTATGATTATTATTGTCAGATTATAATTTTTATTGATATTATTATGATTATTATAATGATTGATTTATTATTTGTGATGTTGCTTGATTATTTTTATGTTTATTGCTTGATTACCCCTTTTATGCATGTTTAAAGGGAATTTGATATTTGTAAATCACGCTTAATAAGATAATTAATAATCTTATTTATGGTTAATTTGATTATAATTCAAGTGATCGCCAATAATAGTTTTATTTGTGCATTAAATTCAATCAACATAGATAAACAGGTTTAGGGTAAACCTATTGATTGCATATTAATCAGAAAACGCACATGAATACGACCAGAATAAAGTAGAGGCCTATTATTAGGGCAGGTTCAATCTCTTTTAGGTTGGATTTGTACCTTCATCTCCGAACCCTTATTTGGTTCTAGACCTTATGGAGTTGACGATCTCTTGGATCGTTAAGGGGTATAACCTTCACCTTGTGAACTGTTTACAAGTTCCTAAAACTTGTTGGCGACTCTTTTGCTCTATCTTCTTCCCTTTTGGACGCCACCGTACTTTAGTATATGATCACAGTGGGGTTCAAGGTAGGGGTTTAATGCTTGAAATATTCCCTACAAGGGGAAATCACTTTCTCTCTCTAGAAATGCTCTGACTTCTCTCTAGAATTCTCAAGAATGTAAAGTGCCAAAATGAGGTAAAACCCCTTATATTATAGGAAAAATTTATCGGGGTAAAATGGTAAATCCATCTTTCCCGCCCAGGAATTTAAACGGATACTTTTTGAAAAAATCAACCTAGAATTTGGAAGGTCGTTACAAGGGATCTGTCAATTTGGATGAAAAAAGGGACGGACAACTAACAGTGCATCCAAATAGACGGCTGAGTTAACGGGATTAATGTCTTCATTTCAAGAGGCATATCGCCCGTACCTTTCTCTAAAAGCCTAGGTGGAAAGATCTGGCCGCCTAATCTCTGGACCATATCAGTCTGGAAAAATTCCACGCGGACAAAACCTGACTTTCAGTCTGAAAATCGTTCACCCCTTCAATTGGCGGACATGATTTGTCCGCCCCTGCATACAAGCTCAAATCTCTTCATGCTCGGACGCATTAAGGCGAGTAGAGGATCAGAGAAGGCGGCCTGTAAGCGTACAACCACCCCCTCTGAGGGGCAAATGTTTAGGGTAAAAATACCCCGTATACATGGACTAATCCCATAGAGACATGTGACCCAGTGAGAGGGTGACACGTGTCACTATGGGAAGATGCCACGAATTCAGGTTAAAAGTACTCAAGAGCACGGGCCAATCCTGTAGCGACACGTGGCCCTATTAGAGGGTGACCCGTGTCACTACAGGAAGATGCCACGAGTTTAGGGCATATAAGACTCCTTAAATCAGCACAAAAAGGGGCCTCATTACATCATGGCCCAAATCCCGAGAGATATCCCTAAAAGCCGCAAAACGGCGCCCCCCATGTTACCCGTGGCATCGCGTGATTGCATAGCCATTCACGTCACGTAATTTTAGGGTATAAACCCTAAAATTGGCACAAGTTCCCACCCCTATAAATACTGCAATCATTTATGATGGGAGGGGTGAATTAGGACACTACAAGAAAAAGAGCATTAATAGCTCCAACTTCTCTCTACTTTCTCTCTCTAGCCTTTTTCGTTTCCGATCACTAACTTGATCGTCGGAGGCGAATATTCCGACAAAGGAATATTCGTTGTTTTGCAGGTGTCTCAGTCTCGTTGTCAGAAGAACGTGACCAGTTTCCGAGGATATCCAAAAAACACCCAAAACAACTCTGAAAACTTTAGATCTACGAAAAAGGAACACTATTTGCGCAAAATTAACATGGGGCTTTTGTAGAGGGAACTATTTCAGATGGAATCATGTAAATTTCATGAGATTTGAAGCAACAAACCATGAGAATTAAGGAGAGAGAGTGACGGAGGATGAAGAAGAGAGGAGAGAGAGAGAATCTGGTGGAAGAACCCAGAATATTATTGGAGAGAGAAAATACTCAGAGAAAAGGAGTTATAAAGGAGTAGAAAATGAGAGAAAGAGTTAAAAAGAGTTTAAATACATTAATTATACATTAATAGTACAACTGTAAAAGAGATTGTCTTTGGGATATTTAGAAAAAGAAAACTTACTAAAAATAGAAAGGTGGAATGTAATTTTTAAATACCAAAATAGAAAGGAAGAATGTAATTTAGGGACGGAGGGAGTAGTTTTTTGCAAAATTTCCTAAAAAATACTCCAAAATTTCTTTCAATAATGGGGTAAGGGCCCAATTTTAAGACCTTGCACCGGACCTCGGATTTGTTTGCCCCGCCCATGCGCTCAACCTACACCTACTGCCCTCCACTCTCAAAATCTTTAACCCGTCAACAACTTAAAATGAATGAGGTTTGACCTTGATGGGTTTCAACTTAATTTCATATCTAATATATAATTGCAGAGTCGTTTTCACCACAACCCTCCAAATCCCCAATACTCATATCTCATGCATTTGAGTTTTTTTTTTTTTTTTTTTTTTTTTTTTTTTTTTTTTTTTTTTTTTTTTTTTTACAAACCAATAACTACCCAAGTACCCATCCCAATATATTATTTATTTTTTAACTTAAAGAAAAACATCAATAAGGATAATAACTACCCATCCCACTTTTTTTCCCCATTTTTTCAAGTAATTGCAATAATCAATAAAAATTCACTTTTTTAAAACATTACTAACATTTCACTTTGTCAGATTTCAGCAAAGCAGAACAGGTGTCGGTAGAATATTAATACTCACTAGAGAAGATTTGAACATAGCATTGTAAAGCAGATTAGACCACAACAACTCTAAAAAAACATGGCTTAAGTTACTACATCAAATGAACTTCCCTATTTGAAATATATTTTTTCTTATATTATATAATTAATTGTTTCTAACATAAAAATACATCCCTTGCATTTTGCACGGGTACACTCTAGTATTAATCTATTTTACGAGTAATTTACTACTCCGTATATTACTACCAATAATCAGTGCCTTAACTACTAACATAGTAACATCTTTCAAAAAAAAAAAAAACCAAAAAAAACCAAAAAAAAAAAAAAAAAACCTACTAACATAGTAACAAAGTAGTTTTCTTTCCCTCTATTTTCCTATGGGTTAATTTTTAATTAGATAAGGTTATTTTTTTTGTTTCATTGTTCTCAATCTACATATCTATCTAGAAAATTTAAATTTTAACATATATAATCTATTTTCAATTTGATCAAATTAAAAAAAAAAAAAAAGATAAGGGTTGTTACATATTGATAATTCCAGTTATTGACAACTAAGTAAATTAATATACTAACTTTATTTATTATGCATAAAAATAATCCAACTATGTATTAATTGAAAAACCCGAGCATAATAGTATCTATTAATAAAATAGAGATTTAGGGTAATCAAGGCTTTATATTGCCAGTCCTCTATATTATAATCTAACCTAAAATAACCCAAAGACTAAACCAATTAATGTTAGCCTAATAATGTTAACCACTATTTGGGAGTATTTGGCCGTGTCTTGTGTCTATGCCCACAAGGTTGGCAAAGAAACGCCAAAAGGGGAAGACCATCAGTCATCATAATAAACCTTTGATAAAGGACACGTGCCATAAACCACCTTTGCATGATAATTTAGTGTTCATCATCTTCATGTACCACGTACAACTCATTCTCATCTTCTTCACTTCTTATCAATTTTATTTGATCATCTTTCTTCAATTTTCTCATTTTCTTTCTTTCTTTTTTATCAAAATAAATTAGACATTATTAGATAATTATAGGAGATAATTAGTTAGTAATAAAAATGGATTTTGTAAATTCATTCATGAATTTTGTGGTTCCACCGGCAAGTTTGGTAATGTTGGCATTAGCATGGCCAACTTTGAGTTTTATTAATGCATGTGAATGGGCTTATGGCTTGTTTTACTATGAAAGTATGGAAAATAAAGTTGTTATCATTACTGGTGCTTCTTCTGGACTTGGCGAGGTAAATATTACTATTTATTTTATCATCATTTTCTTGTTTTTGTATTAGTCCGTAATAATAGGTTTTGTATTGCATACATGCGATAGACTTAGTCATCTCAAATTACATTAAATTTCTGCTATGTTCACATGGACTCTAATGATCTAATCAACACCTTTGATCATTAAAATTTTTGAAGCTAAGTATGTGTCTAAAAAAAAAAGTATGTGTTTGTACACACCAGCCTTTGAATATGTTAAGTTTTGTAATTGTAAAACACAAATTTTCATATATAGCCGGCTACATGATGTGGCTGGCGTTACTCGGTTAGGTGTTGTGCGGTCAGGGTTACTCGATTGATTTGAGGTTATTCTATTGATCAGAGGTTAATTACTCGATTAATGTTTTGGGATCGAAACAGCGCTGGTTGTAAAAATTATGACTACTAGTTTTGTTTGGCATCGCTGTGGTTTTCTGTTTTTTGTTTTTGTTTTTAAAAAGTATATTATATATGTCACATAATGAATCAAAAATTATTTAGACTTATTAAAATCATGGTAATTTTGAAAACTGACAACTGAAAAGTGGAAATACCTTTTTCTTGTTTCCCGTTTTTTGTTTTTAGTTTTCAAAAAATCAAAAAACTAAAAACAAAAAATAATGACTATAAAATTTTAATTTACCACACACAAAGAATATTATGATATCCGTTGCTTTTTTGGTACAAGATGAGCCAATGTATAACTCATCCCTTCGATTTGCTACCCAAAAAAAAATAAAAAAAAATAAAAAAAAAATAAAAAAAACGCTTTAGATTACATTTGTTATTAGTAATAGAACAAATTTCACTCTTTAAGCAAAAAAACTACAAATAATTATTGTTCTTAAAAGTACAATTTGATACAGTTTATTCTGTTTAATTTACTGTACAAATCTCAATTTGTGCTTTACAATTATTAATTACATGTTACTTGTTAGTAATTATAGATTAAACAAATTTCATTGTTTCAGCAAATTGCCTATGAATATGCAAAAAGAGGAGCAATCCTTGTACTTGTTGCAAGAAGAGACACTAGGCTCCGTGGGATAAGTGAGAATGCAAGACAGATTGGTGCAAAGCATGTCATGATCGTGGCCGCCGACGTCATCAAAGAAGACGAGTGTCGAAGGTTCATCACCGAAACAATGAGTTTTTATGGTCGTGGTAAACTCCATAACACTATGCAATGAATTAGTTTACAATGCTAATTGATCATATATTATGTTATTAATTGCCTTTATTTATTTTTTGAAACCATATTAATTGCCTTTATTATCATCACCCTCAGCTCTTCGATTTTCTACTCGTATACGTGTATTTTACCGAAAGAAGGTTACTTTTGGTGGTTTTACACGGTTAATATTATAAGGAAAAATAAGATAGTGGAAAATAAAAATTAGGTATCACATTATTCACATATACGATGAGGATCAAGTATTGCGACATTAAACTAACTTTGAAAATACAAATATTTGTATTGATAGTAATAGGTAAATATTTTTGTAAATAGGAATAGTTGCATTGAGATATAAATAATTTGAGTAATGGGAACAATTGCATGGAATATATGTATGTATGAGGGAAATGTGTAAAAATTAATTAAAAAGTACAGCAACCATTAAATGAAACGCCAAAAAAGACAAATTAACGTCATTTTAGGAACGGAGGGAGTAACAATTTATCCTCCATTTTATATTGTTCTTCTCATTTCAAATCTTTTTGTGAGACTAAATTGGTCAAGGTGTGGGAAAAACATTTTGATGCAGATGGAGTAGTTTTAAACTTTGTTTTTGAGTAGATATCTTCTTTTTTCCTCTTTTTGTGTCAAACCATTATGTTACTCTCACTGCTCGTCTGTTTCGGGAGTTTTTATTGATAATATTTGTTTAATTATTAGCATGATATCTATACAAACAAATTTTCATGAAAACAATTGGAAGAAATGCTAATCATTTTTACTAACTTGATTTGTTTTCTTATAGTCGACCATTTAGTGAACGCTACAAGTTTGGGTCATACATTCTACTTCGAGGAAGTTAATGACACGTCTACATTTCCTCATTTGATGGTGAGAAACTGAGAATTATCTATTGGTGTGCTTGATCAATGTTGTTTCAAATACTTTGTACAAGTTAATTTTTGAAGGATTAATTCATACGAGTATAAGCTATTGTTGTCCATTATTCCGTACATATTATGGGAGAAAAGACCTAAATGTTTTGATTGTACATAGATGATGTTATAACTAATTTTTGTATATATGGTTAATCGTTAGGATATAAACTTTTGGGGAAATGTTTATCCAACCTATGTTGCCCTTCCTTACTTACGACAAACAAAAGGTCGAATCATTGTGAATGCTTCGGTTGAGAATTGGTTTCCTTTGCCAAGGATGAGCTTGTATTCGGTAAGTGCCACATTCCCTCGAAATATAAGTACTACTTTTGTTTCCATGGTTTTAATAATTTCGTCATTTTTTATATGGCTATTAACTAGGCAGCAAAGGCGGCATTGGTGAACTTTTATGAAACATTGAGACTTGAAGTGAAAGAAGATGTAGGAATAACAATCGCAACCCATGGATGGATTGGGACGGATATTACAAGAGGCAAGAACATGGTTGATAATGGCGCCGAGATGCAATGGAGAGAAGAGCGAGAGGTAGTTACTAAAATGTTTTGATCTTTCTAATTAATCTCAAGGTCATTTTCATAACGATGCATTCACTACTTACACTTGCACGTTTTTTGTATGATTACACCAACCGTATGGTAACATGTTCTACCCAAAATGTATAGTAGAAAATCTTAAGCGAGAACACTACTTTTTTTTTGTTTCAAAAAAGTTTTGTTAACAAAAAAGTGAGTGATTTATAGTTTTCTACACTTTAATTAAGGTACTCTGGTTTAGTTTGAAAAATTTCTCCGTATTAAAATTTGGTAACCTGGTTTATGTGGTGTTTTTATATGGTATGGCTCATCATTTTTATAGAATTGTCCGATATTATTTGAATTTTTCTAGTTTGATCCGAAGTTCAATATGGTCTAGTCTGATTTTAGAAATTAAGAAATATTTTAATTAGTTTCATTCCTTACTATTTCCTTATCCAATACCCCGAACATTTTGCATTTGCCATACTTCCTTATGCTTGTATTGGTAAGCTTTAGTGAATAACAACCTATCATTTACTATTGAATTTTCCATCTTCTTTTTTCTTAATTAAAAGACAATAAATAAGGCCTTTTGCTATTAATTTTTGTTTGATTCATCACATTTTCTATTTTAAATTCTCCATGTTTGTAGGTACAAGCTAGTGGTGGAGCAGTAGATGAATTCGCGAAGCTAATAGTGGCAGGGGCTTGCCGAGGAGATCCCTATGTGAAGCACCCAAGTTGGTATGATGCATTCCTTCTATACAAGGCATTCGCACCCAAGATTCTCGGGTGGACGTTTCGTTTACTATTGGGGGCCGAAAATGGGAGGCAAACGTCTCTTATTGGTGTAGGTAAGCCGTTATATTTGGAGCCTGCTTCTCCTAAAAAGCCATCCAGTCCAATGATAGGTTCAAGGGCCACATATGTGCAGCAAATGAAGGTAGAATAAGAGAAGTCTTGAGTGTATTAATACATGTTATGCAATTTCTTTGAGGTTTTGTTTATTTTTGTTTTTGGGTTTTTTTTTTTTACATATGTTATTTTGAAGCTTCTCTAGGATTGGAAAATGTATCAATTTGTAGTTTACAAAAAAGGTACGAAATTCGTTTTTTTTTTCTTTTTATACGTACATTGGCATCATTTTATTGGCATTTTTTGAATGAAGGTTGCATCTAATTACGTAAATATATGATTGTATGTTTAGTGCAAGTGTATGATTTTTTTTTTCTGACATACGTGCAAGTGTATGTGTAGGGAATAATTTCAAGCGTTAACCCACTAGCTTGAACCCCACTTTGATCATACAGTAAAGTACGGTGGCGTCCAAAAGGGAAGAAGATAGAGCAAAAGAGTCGCCAACAAGTTTTAGGAACTTGTAAACCGTTCACGAGATGAAGGTTACACCCCTTAACGATCCAAGAGATCGTCAACTCCATAAGGTCTTGAACCAAATAAGGGTTCGGGGATGAAGGTACAAATCCAACCTAAAAGAGATTGAACCTGCCCTAATAATAGGCCGCTACTTTATTCATCGTATTCATGTGCGCTTTTTGACTAACATGCAATCAATAGGATTAACCCTAAACCTGTTTATCTATGTTGGTTGAATTTAATGCACAAATAAATCTATTATTGGCGATCACTTGAATTATAATCAAATTAACCCTAACAAGATTATTAATTATCTTATTAAGCGTTATTACAAGTACCAATTTCCTTTAATCATGCATTAAAAGGTGTGATCAAGCAATAAAAAAAAATATCAAGCAACATTAATAATAATCATAAATAATAAAATTATAATCATAACAATCATAATTAAAAATAATCATCATAACAATAATTATAACAATTATAATCATAAATCATAAAGAATAATCATAATAATGTTAAAGCATAATAATAGCAAGATCCTAGGCATGATACCAACAAGATTAATAACAAACACTAGCATATCACTAAGCATATAAAAATCAAATATTTAACCCTAACATGATACTAACAATCATAAATATTAGGAAGAACATAAGAAGCATCGTAACAATCATATTTGATATTAAATTTACTCTAGACATTATACTAGGAATCATAATAACAATCTAAGCATGATTTCTATATCATAACATCAATAAAAACCATTAAAGTACTTACTTGGATGCCACGTACCTCTTTCTAATAACAAAATACACACGTTAGTAAATTCAAGGAAAATAATAATCAACAATTAAATTAAATAATTGAAAGAGATATTTGGGATCAAACCCTCAGAAATTAAACCTTTTACGTCTAGGGCAAAGACAACTTTGAATATGGCTAGGTGTATCTAGATCTAATGAATGCGGAATTTTTATATTTGAGAAAAGCTAGTTTAGAAAAGAAAGAGAGAGAGAGAGAGAGAGTAATCAAGAGAATCTTGATGAGAGTTGGCGAATGAAAACGGAGTTTTTACGACGTTATTTATAAAGAAAATCAGCCAAAAAGATAAAATATCAAAACAGAGTTCTGGCACTCATAAAACTCGATCAGCGCCAACGATGGCCATTGGCGCCAGGCGCAAAGCGTAGCACCAGGCACTACAGCTGGCGTTTGGCGCTGATTCAGAAAATCACGCGTTTTCTTAAAATCAGATAAAAATTCCCGTTTAGGAGGATAAAATCGTATTTTCCTCAAAAATGCTCTTTGATTTTAATTAAAACTCTGAAAAGTCAACAAAAGTCAATTTATCAATGCTAAATGAATTAGGAATGAAAAGAACCTTCTAGAAGAATCTAGAAGACTAAAACCATTCCTAATTGCATTAGGAATGATAAATCTATATTAGGCCCTCCCCTAGATCATTGGGCCGCATATAAGGCTTAAAACGGGCCCAATTTAGTAAATTGGCCATAACTTCCTCAATATTCATTGGAATTGGGCTCATAATATATCGTTGGAAAGCTTTTGTCAAGCCCCATCCAACCACACTACTATTGGACCCATATCATGACCAACCAAACTGGATTGGCTATTTCCTTAAAATAAGTTTTCAAAAACAGAGAAAAGAGAAAAAAATTAAAACTATCCGCAACACTAAACTTTCCACACTTTCACTTCATTCGATTATGGTTCGACGTGAAAGGTACTCATCACTGGATTTGGTTTTGGGGAGACACAAATGGGTGTCTACAGAAGCCCCCACTTTGGCTGAGTTTGGAGAAACGCAAGTTTCGAAAACAAAAGTCAAAGTATCGATAGGGACGGAGAATGATTCAGAAAGTTTTGCGATCCTAAATCACTCTTAAAACGCCGATACATGCAAACTAGCGTTAGTTAAAACAGATAAAAGAGTTAAGAAACGCGTATCTTGCACCGTCGATCACACGTCTCTGGAGGGTAACCGATTTGCTGCTGCTTTACTGTTATTTTGATGACCTCCTGCCAAGAGAATGCCATCCCGCTTGAAAACTGCTACGCTTGTAACTACTTCCAATATAGAAGACTGCTTTGCCTGAAACGATCCTCTCCCACTTTGATAATATTCCACGTCCAAGGGAATACTATCGAAGATTGTTTTGCTTGAAACAATCCTCTTCCGCATTGATAATATTCCACGTCAAAGGGAATACCATCGAAGATTGTTTCGCTTGAAACAATCCCCATCCGCATTGATAATATTCCACGTCCAAGGGAATACTATTGAAGATTGCTTCGCTTGAAACAATCTTCTTCCGCTTTATGACCATCTTCCAAGTCTAAGGGAACATGGTCGAAGACAACTTTGCTTGAAATTACCTTCAGTTGTTTGTGACAACTCTCTACAATCTAGGGAATGCCGTCGAAGATATCCTCGCTTGAAGCTATCCTCATTTGTTGCGATAATTTTCCAAAGGAAATACCGAAGATCTCCGCCTGTCGATCTTTAAAAGCTCGCTTGAACTTTGCTTCCACTATACCTGTACGTCGGCGCTTTTGCTGCTTTTGAACCTGTACGTCGGTGCCTTTTGCGAATGAACCACTATGTCGGTGCCTTTTGTTAATGAGCCAATGCTTAGGCGATTTAAGCTAAGTGAGACGATCTTTCATCAAGTCATCACTTTGTGCAATCAAGCCGATTACTAAAAATCGTGTCAAATTTCTTAGAGGGGCTAACTGGCGTACCAAGGAACCCAAAATATATTGCAAAAATGTAGAACAACCCCAGTGAGTGGCCGAGTGTCCCGGCGCTGCTGAAAAAGCATCAGCGCCACACAACTGGCCTCAGCGCCAGGCATTGGGATTGGCGCCAGAACGGGGTTTTCCTTAAATACCCCTTTCTTCTTCATTTTCGCTGTTTTGCTCATCGTGTTTGCTCGAAAATTCGCAAAATTTCATTTGCTCCGTTCTTGCTCGTTTCTCAACCAAATTCACTCAAATTTGTTGCAAATCAAAGCTCTTTTCATCCATTTTCCCGATCTATGTAAGTTTTCTTTAAACTCACACTGGTTTTTATGAATTTTGCACATGTTTATATTCAAATTTCATGAAATTTTGAAACTTAGAATGCTTAATTCTCTCTATTTATCAAATTTTATGCCATGAAATTGCTTGGTTATGTTTATATATTGCCTTGGTAGTAATTTGAGACTTGTTTGACTCAATTTGGTGAAGAAATGAATGAATTGCCATTGTTGAACCCCTTGAGGTCGAGAATGCAATGTGACTTGTTCTTGGTGTTTTTGCTAGCAATTCTTGTCCAATTTGTCATGATAATTATTATAGTATTGCAAGAAATTGATTGATTGCTTGAAAAATGCTGTTATGCTCAATTTGAATTTGTGCTCTGTTTTAGTACTACGTACTCTGTTTTTTTTTATGCGAACATAGTATCATGCGGATAGGCGAAACTTAGATACTATAGAACCTTAATTTATGATAATTGTGCACAATGTAGCATGGCTAGACAGCGAGGCTCTGGTTCACAGTCCCGAGACACTCGACGGGAAAATGAGCCCGTGGAGGACGACGCCGCGCCGTCCACTTCGCTTGGTCGACTCCCCGAGTGGGACGAGCGGACCTTGTTCTTTGCCCCCGTCCACCATATTTCTAAGAGGGTGAGACGGGGCATCACTGTTGGGAGGACGCGCTGTCACCGTTCCGGCTGTGATGGCTTGGGCGATTTGTACAAGATGTACATCGCCAGGGATGTCGAGACGAGACTCCTATGGGAGTCCTGCGGTCTCGCTGCGTTGTTTGAGACCTCCGAGGCGATGGTTGCCTCCAGCTAGGGTCACCATGTAGTGCGCGCTCTGGTGAAGTTCTTCTGGGACACCACCAACACTTTCCACTTTCCCTGGGGTGAGATGATGGTCACTCCTACCGACTTTAGTCTCATCACAGGACTGGAATTCAGCTCTGTGCCACTGCCGTTTGACAGTGGGATCGACGTCTTTTCTCCCGTAGTCGAGGAGCTGTTGAGGTCGATTACCATTCGGTCCCAAGCTGAGGTTGAGTCGTCTCAGTTCAGTGCCAGGGGGATTTTCCGCTCGACTCTGGCAGCGGCTTTCGATGATGGTGCGACCACTCGAGAGAAGCGGGTGCACATCTTTGCGCTCATTTTGTTGTCAGGGACGTTCTCCCCTGACAAGGGTAGTAGGGCGTTGCTTTACTACCTTCCTGTTGTCCGCGATCTACACCGAATCGGGACTTATGACTGAGCCAGCTTGGCTTATGTTGAATTCATTCGTGGGCTGAGGGACTCGTGTCGACACCGGTCTTTTAGGACGAATGTTGCTTTGTTCGGCTTTTGGAGGGTCATAGAGGTAAACATTATTCCCTATAAAGTTTAGCTCTATATTTTAGCTAGCACTTGCTGATAATTTTAACTCCTTGTACATCTGGTTCTACGAGTACTTCCCTTCTGCTGCGCCGGCGAGACCGTCAACGCGCAGGTTTCCAGTGAGTGCTTCTTGGGACAGCCGCCGTGTGGGGATGTCCACTACATATGTCTAAGACTGGATAATCGCGGTACGATTTTTTCTTATTTTCTATTTTGTGATGCTTTAGGTAGACTCTCGCCTGATTGATGCTCTTTGCAGAAGCCTGAGGTGGTGTACCGGCCGTGGGTCGGCCTGGCAGTACCTGGTTTAGCCGCACAGTATTCTGCTGAGCGTTGTTATTTCCTGGGGACTTATGGAGCGATCGCATACTTAGGAGAGAGGGTTGTTAGACAGCATTCCTCCGATATCTTTGTC